ACCCGGGACCTCTGGATCTGTAGCCAGGAACTCTGACCACTAGACTACAGAGGCGGTCGGATCTAGATTTAGATGGGGGATCTTTGAGAAACTGGTTGCGGGGTTTGGATTTGTTTCAGCTGGTTCGAGGTAGATACCGGTAGAGAGATCTTGTGAACACGGTAATGAATCTTTGGATTCCATAAAATACTGGGAATTTTTTGAGTGGCTGAGCAACTGCTGGCTTCTCAAGAAGTAGTGAATTCCTTGGAAATATTTAGTTAGGTAGGTAGTTTAGTCGTGATCGTTTAGGTCGAAATTTGTTATTTGTGAGTGACTACTATTGCGTGTAGTTTTAATAAAATATGCGTAAAGTATTTGTTGTGCTGTGGTAACAGATCCTTTGAAAATATGGCACAGTTCAAATATTCGGGAACGACAGTAAAAAGTCAAAATTTGAGTCAGGGGGAAACTAAGAGTAAATTTAATTTGGGTAATGCTTGCTACCATTCTTTCCAGAAACTTCTGTTTTCTTGTCTGCTGTCAAACAACTTAAAAATTAGAATATACAAAACTATAATTTTGTCTGTGGTTTTGTATGGGTGTGAAACTTGGTCTCTTATATTAAGGGAGGAACATAGACTCAGGGTGTTTGAGAACAGGGTGCTCAGGTGAATATTTTGACCGAAGAGAGCTGAAGTGACAGGAAGTTGGAGCTTCATAACTTGTAGCTTTGTCAAGTATAGTTAAAATGAACAAGTCAAAGAGGATGAAATGGGCAGGGCTTGCAGCACGAATGGGGGAGAAGAGGAATGCATATAGGATATTGGTGGGAAAGCCAGAAGGAAAGAGACCATTAGGAAGACCAAAAGATTGGTTTTGGATAATATTAAAATGGATCTTAGAGAGATAGGATGAGGTTGTGTGAACTGGATTAATCTGACTCAGGATATGAACCAATGGAGGGCTTTTGTGAACATGGTAATAAACCTTCTGGTTCAGAATTACTGTGTTTTTGGGCTTTGTCCATCATCCGGTGTTCTAGAAACTATAAAACTCGAGTTTAGGAAACTGAATCCATTTCCGTTGAAAGGCTCCTACTCTGTTGGGCCCATTAGAAAGAACGAATCTCAGTCACTGGGCCCAACAGAATAGGAGTTTTCTCCCCCTCCCATGGGGACGGAAACAGACCCAGTTTCCGAAACATTGTGTTTTCTAGTTTCTAGAATACCGGACGATGGACAAAGTCCAAAAATCCAATAACTCTGAGTAATATGCACCATCGTCAGACCACTTTAGAACCAACCTTCGGGTTCCATAGAATGTTGGGAAGTTCTTGAGTACCTACAACAACTGGCGGCTTCTCAAGAAGGGCTCTGCTCCATGAAGATAGCTTAGTTAACCATTTAAATCAAAACGTTGACTATCTGTGCTACAGTAGGCATCTGCACATCTCTTGTTTAGTTAACGTGATTTATTAACTTATCTTATTTTTTAAGGTGACGTAACGAATGCGGATGAATTTAACGGAACATAAAGCATAGATTAGGGAATAAAGAAATGTATATTAACTTACTTACCCATGGAGCTGAGCCCTTCTGGAGGAGCCGCCAATTCTGCAGCTACTCAAGAATTTCCCAGCATTTTATGGAACACGAAGGTTCATTGCCGTGTTCACAAGAGCCTTCCACTGGTCCCTATCCTGAGCCAGTTCTATCCAATCCATACCATCCCATCCTATCTCTCTAAGATCAATTCTAATATTGTTCACCCACCTACATCTTGGTCTTCCCTGTGGTCTCTTTCCTTGTGGCTTTCCCACAAATATCCTATACGCATTCCTCGTATCCACCATTCATGCTACATGACCTGCCCACCTCATACTCCTTGACTTGATAATTCTAATTATACTTGGAGAAGAGTACAAGCTATGAAACTCCTCATTATGCAGTTTTCTCCAACCTCCTGTCACTTCATCTCTCTTCGGTCCAAATATTCTCCTCAACACCCTGTTCTCAAACACCCTGAGTCTGTGTTCCTCCCTTAATGTCAGAGACCAAGTTTCACACACATACAGAACCATAAAGAAATGTATACATAGATTGAATGTGGAAACCTGAAGAAAAGAGACCACTTTGAAGAGTTGCGGTTTGATGGGACGATAATATTAAAACTGATTTCAAAGGAGGATGATGTTAGGATATGAACTCATCCGTCCATGTCAGAGTGGATGACTGTTATGAATAAGGTAATGAATATTTTCCTTCCATAGAAGGTGGAGAATATATTGACAGTTTTGTCAGTCATACGTTCGGTAAGAATGATTCTGCTCAATAGAATTAGTTGGTTAAAACGGGGACCATTTATATTTAATATTTGCCCTGATGATGGTCTAGCTGCTGATGGCACTGCGGCATATATAACGTACAGCTGTATCTTAAGACATGTTCTTGTCCACTTTAACCCCTTTCCCTCCACCTTGAGCCATACTGGATGACTTATTAATCTTCAGAATACTGGGCGATTCTGCATTATCTTCGGGGTATCCATGGACTGTAATTTTCAAACCTTACATACCATGATAGGCGACCATGTTTAAGTTGTTTAGCATTCTGCAGTATTGATTCTAAAAGTAATAAAATTTTGCGTCACACTTTCATATTCCATAAGCAGTTTTTTTTTGTTTTTCTCTGATTTGAATATTACAGACCACCGAAACCATGACAGTAATTTAGAATCACTTTATACTTTAAATAATTTCGCTTATGTGATCTTGGTGTGAAAGGGTCACTCAACAATTGTAATGTTGTACTATGTTTAGGTACAGGCCTTGTGACGAACTGATCACTCGTCCAAGGAGTCCCACCGTCTGTAAAATGCTCATGAAGCTGAAAATCAGAGGCCAGGGCCCAAGGGGGCTGTAAAGCCCGTGAATTATGGAAGGCAGAGTAATGAAGTTATAAGAAATTGACCTTGTGTGCAGGATATGTTATCATTATAAATTAATTGTTTTTAATTCTTCTGATGTAGTTAGTTAGTTATTGGAGAGGGTGGGTTTCCCCATGCACTGAGACCTGTATTGGTCCATTGTGCTTCCCTCTATGATTTCCATCACTCTCTATATCCTACCGGTACTGCTGCTTACCATCAGTCCCGCCGAGCCAGCGAGACCGGCTCTACTAGCTGAGAGGTATCTATAATGCTTCCCCCATCTACCAGAGGTATTAGAGACTGCTGTTGGGCGGGAAACGTCCGTTAATTTGGCTCAGTGAACTCCTTTGGAGATATGAGGTTCTTTTACATGCCGTAAAGCTACGACACGGGACCCACGGCTTAAAGTCCCTCCTGGAGGACTTGTTCCCTGAATTTTTCCGCCCTTAAAAATTCGACGACCTCCGCCGGGTATTTGAACCCGCGTACTACGAGTCATGAGGTGGGAACGTTACCTCTAGACTACGGAGGCCGCTTTTCTTCTGATATAACTTGTTTGATTTTATTTATATGAAAAATATACAGAGACAGATTTTCTCAATAACCATCACTGACAGTGACTATCCATTCAGTGAGAAAAGAACTATATGAAGCCCACTACCAAATGATATTTTCTTCTCAAAATTTCGAACTAAAATTTTATATATATTTCTCTTGTCTCCCGTGCGTATTACTTATGCTGACCGTCACATTCTGATTGATTTGATAACATTAATATGAGTGGAAAGCGCAAATTATGAAACTCTTCATTATTCAAGATCTGAGGTTTTCTCGCCGGTGACTATGAAGAACGCCACCTTCTGGGATCTGGCGCCGTATAGATATTGTGTAAGTTCAGCATTAACTTTCTGAGACTATGATGTTTCTAGACAACTTGTAGGCCTCCTTAGACGGGAGATCGGTTCATCACGAAGCCTTTACCAGCACAGAACAACACAAACACAGGGAAGAGAACAGCGGACATATATCCATATCCCGAGTGGCATTCGAACCCACGATCCCAATGTTCGAATGATAGACTTCGTGACAACTGAAATCGGTCAAGGTCGAAATTGAAGCTGAAGTTATTACGCCTTTATCTCAGTAATTTTGAATTTCAGTGGGCGTCTGGGGTAGTTATGAGTACCATCCGCTGTAGCTCGGTACAGTTTCGCCAACAGGGATACACGTTCATTGTTTTATTTTGGTTTCCAGACTAAAAGGCGGTCAGTGAACATCCTGGATGGTGAATGTTCTCTTAGTCTCACAAAAATTGTGTCTTTCTTTCATCTCCTGGTTCAGGGTGAGGATTTGAGGTTAATTGTTTTCCATGATAATTCATAAGTTAATTGAAGAAAGCAGTCTTCTGGGATTTGGCACCGTGTATATGTGGTATTAACTGACGTTTCGGAGGAACGTATCGCCTTAATCTTCAGGGTAGAAGGAAAAATATAAGAAATCCGCAGGCGAAGAGACCGTGAAAACCGGTAAAAGCAGTCTGCGATACGTTCCTCCGAAACGTCAGTTAACACCACATATACACGGCGCCAAATCCCAGAAGACTGCTTTCTTCATAGTCACCGCCGTGAAAACCTCAAATCTTACTTACGTAAGATAATTGTTTCTACAGCTTTTAAAGATATTTCTAAAATTGTTTCTTAATTTTACATACAAAACTGACCACTTTTCTCTTTTCAGAATATCTCTTGAAGAGTTAGTGTAATTTTTATATATTTCTTAGAAGTCTGTGGAATTATACCTGAATACAGTTGCCAAGTAACATTAAGTACGAGTCGATGCTACTAAGTCTGAGTTGCTAGCAGGTTCCTGAAGTAAACTACAAAGAAATAAACGTAATAATTACGAAACGGACCATAAGTTCTAGAAATGTATACATTATTAAAGACATGAAGAGTTCTTCAGACTATGGCAATGGGTTAAGGTACATGAAAACAAAACTTCAGTAATAAATGTACAATTTTATTTGAAGGACAAATAAATAGGCTACCATATACAAAACATTCTATTTACAGTATGGAATTAAGCAAGTGATGATTTTCGGTGATTCTTAGTATAAGAAGAGCATACATTTCGCACATCGGAAAATGGTCACATTTCATTCGTGGAGGAAATTACCACCCGTAACTCACACCCAGGCCGGAGAAAGACAAATGAGCGACTGCGGGGGCGGCGGAGTATGCGACTCCCAATGGGGCTGCACGAAGAGCAGGGGCGGCATAGGCAACAGGTGCAGCAACAGCGGGGGCGGCGGAGTATGCGACTCCCAATGGGGCTGCACGAAGAGCAGGGGCGGCATAAGCAGCAACAGCGGGGGCGGCAGGGTAGGCAAGAGCGTCATTGCTGACTCTGACGTCGGACTTGCGGACGCTGGAGTACGGGGTGTCGATGGACTTGGAGTAGGAGGACACCTGTCCCAGGTTGCCGTAGCTCCTCAGGATGTTGGAATGCTGTGACGTGATGGCGGGGGCGGCGTAACTGATGGCGGGGGAGGCGTAACCAATGGCGGGAGCTGCAGCATAACCAAAAGCAGGAGCTGCAGCGTAACCAATGTTGCCAGCATTGGCGACAGCCACCAGAGCGGCGAGGATCACATACTGAAACCAAATTTTATGTTACTCTCTCGAACAACACGTGTCTGTCACGTGTACACTTGCACCTTAGATTAACTCTTTGTTTACTAGTTATTTATTTCAGCTCTCTACGTTATGTACCATCGAATCATGGGATGGTGTATGAATTGGATAGGAAGCGGTCATGGCGTCAATTGATGTAGGACTATGGCTTTTGTGGCGGTGAAAAGAAGATTCTAAGATAAAACCCAGTCAGCAAGATCTGAGACGGGGACCTTCCGAATACCAACCATTAGTTCACGGCCTTTCGTTATATTCGAGGATTTGTCGGTATCGTAAACCATTAAACTGATAATTCCAGCACATGTTTTGTTCGTTATTAATTTTTTTCATTCTCCGATTGACTACTCACTGTCTTTATGTCGGCTTCGTATTTGGAAAGGCCACGGTTTGTTTCCTGAGACCAGTCATTTTGAGAGGTTTGGGTTCTACTCAGTTTGTGTAGACGAATTTTTAAGAAGTATACTAGTATATTTAAAGGTCATTATTGCAAGTTTCGCTTAGTGGGCGGTGAAGTCCAACTGGGTCCACTCCGCACGGCGGCCACTGATTGGCCTATTGTAGCCTGCCCCGGATGATTATGATGATGAGAATTTTGTGGAATGAAGATTGGCAGGGGAAACCGAAGTACTCGGAGGAAACCCGCCCCAGCGTCACTTTTCCCACCACAAATTCCATTTGACCAGACCCGGCCTCTAACCCGGGGCGCCGCAGTGGGAAGCCAGCGACTAACCGCTTGAGCTACGGCGCGGCCTGTTATTGCAAGTTACTAATCCTTTTCGGGCTGCCAACCTTATTAATTGGTAAAAAATCACCGACATTTCGGAACCATATCTGTCCCTTCATTAGAATCTGATCAGATCATGATGATGGGGAGGGTATTATGGCTGAAACGTCGGTAATTTTGAACTAATTAAGACGGCTGATAGCTCGAGAGAGTTTTATCTACTTCAGTCCGGGTAGAAGCGTCAAGTCTTATTCTCCTAAAGGATTATTCAAAACCTTATACGGCCAGATAATAATACGAATGACCTAGTTTAAAGAAATAATTGCTGAAACATTGATCTTGTAATAATCATTTATGTCATTACAGCTTTCTCTGTTTGGTCACGTCAGTCTCAGTCACTCGGACTCAAACTGCAAATTGCTTATGTAATTCATGTCGCATAAGTGAGATACTTGGAACTATTATTGGATAATTCGCCAACCGCCGTTTGTAATGCGCGTGTCGTTTTAATCTCGATGCAGAAAGACCGGTCAAAATTGCATCACTTCAGAGAAGTTACACCTATTTTATTGCGTTTAGAACAGTCTACTTACTTCATACGAATAAAAGAACAGAGTTTTCAGGACAGATTTACAGTTGTGGTGGCCTCGAGTCAATAATAATATGGAGGCCCTTCTCGGTAACAACAAATGAATTTATAACAATTCCATGTCGTTTTTTTTAGTTCTTAAATTAATTAAAATATAAATTTTGNGTATACTAGTATATTTAAAGGTCATTATTGCAAGTTTCGCTTAGTGGGCGGTGAAGTCCAACTGGGTCCACTCCGCACGGCGGCCACTGATTGGCCTATTGTAGCCTGCCCCGGATGATTATGATGATGAGAATTTTGTGGAATGAAGATTGGCAGGGGAAACCGAAGTACTCGGAGGAAACCCGCCCCAGCGTCACTTTTCCCACCACAAATTCCATTTGACCAGACCCGGCCTCTAACCCGGGGCGCCGCAGTGGGAAGCCAGCGACTAACCGCTTGAGCTACGGCGCGGCCTGTTATTGCAAGTTACTAATCCTTTTCGGGCTGCCAACCTTATTAATTGGTAAAAAATCACCGACATTTCGGAACCATATCTGTCCCTTCATTAGAATCTGATCAGATCATGATGATGGGGAGGGTATTATGGCTGAAACGTCGGTAATTTTGAACTAATTAAGACGGCTGATAGCTCGAGAGAGTTTTATCTACTTCAGTCCGGGTAGAAGCGTCAAGTCTTATTCTCCTAAAGGATTATTCAAAACCTTATACGGCCAGATAATAATACGAATGACCTAGTTTAAAGAAATAATTGCTGAAACATTGATCTTGTAATAATCATTTATGTCATTACAGCTTTCTCTGTTTGGTCACGTCAGTCTCAGTCACTCGGACTCAAACTGCAAATTGCTTATGTAATTCATGTCGCATAAGTGAGATACTTGGAACTATTATTGGATAATTCGCCAACCGCCGTTTGTAATGCGCGTGTCGTTTTAATCTCGATGCAGAAAGACCGGTCAAAATTGCATCACTTCAGAGAAGTTACACCTATTTTATTGCGTTTAGAACAGTCTACTTACTTCATACGAATAAAAGAACAGAGTTTTCAGGACAGATTTACAGTTGTGGTGGCCTCGAGTCAATAATAATATGGAGGCCCTTCTCGGTAACAACAAATGAATTTATAACAATTCCATGTCGTTTTTCTTAGTTCTTAAATTAATTAAAATATAAATTTTGCTTATTTAAGAAACAAATGTTTCAGTAAATTAAATGGATTTTTCTGATCTGTGTAGATCCCAGGTCGACGCACCTGTCGCTCCCCCTCAAACCCGGCTCTGGTCGTTAGACCCCTCACTCCGGACACAAACACGAATTGTGTGACTTGAAGTGAATGTGCTGATAATATTTTGAGGAGAGAATTGTTGCAGAATATATTATTCCCTAATTTAAGAAATAAATTATAACATTTAGTAGTGATTCCCAGTAATATCCATACGTATTTTGTATTATTTTATTCACAAATAAAAAAGATTTTGACGATGGTACATTAATACAAATATTATGTTTGTGGGCAGTATCCACCATCTTGTTTTTATTTAAAAACAACTTTTCGGAGACTGAATTCTGTCTCCATCTTCAAGTCTTAAATAAAAGCAGGACATGGATAATGTCCAGAAACATAAATTGGTATTGTATTCTCATTTCTTGAACACGACCCTAAGCCAGTTACATTAGTGTCCTATTCTCGTAACCTGTTTCTTTGAGATCAATCTTTATGTTGTTCTCTCAGTTTCATCTCCGCATCCAATGAGTTTTCGTCATTAAAATTGTGTACGCATTCCTTATTTCGGCTAAATAAACTACAATAAGAAAGAAATTTAATTTTGCAAGAGCTGAAGTTTTCACAGCGGTGACTATGAAGAATGCCGTCTCCTGGGATGTGGCCCCATGCAGATTTTGTGTGAACCGACGTTTCGGAGAAATATATCGCCTTTAACTTCAGGTTAGAAAAATCTGCGAGCAGGTAAAGTCTTCAGCCACCTACTCACGCTGGTTCCTCGTTCGTGAATTTTTCTAAACTGAAGATGGAGGCGTTACGTTCCTACGAAACGTCGGTTCACTCAAGATCTACACTGCACCACATCCCAGAAGACGGTATTGTTCAAGTTTAATTTTATTTATTTCGAAATTTTGTTCCAACTTTCCACAATTGAATTTTCGAATAGAGTTCTTCAATGTATCGAAACTTTGGAGTTTGGATATAAACGCAAAAGTTGCTTAAAGTATGAACAACCTACTCTTATAATTCTAATGTTTTAATTGCAGAAGTAGAGGAAGGAAAACAAATAGAGACACTATTCTTCAAACAGAATGAGAAGCAATGACGTAGCGCCTATAATAATATACGTTTATGAAGGAAGGTATATCTACAGTCATACTGAACTAAACCTTCAGCAGCTCTACATTTCACAGTGTTTAATTTTTGTGGAATTTTGAGCATTTTTTTGTTGTTGTAAAAGTACTGGTAGATTTCGACGGTGTTCATCAGTTAGTCACGAACATCTTAACAAACAAGAACTCCGTGGCCTAGAGTCCGCAAGCGAACTATACCGACCGAGCGACCGCTACTTGTCGGCGAAGTTAGTGCAAACTTATGCGGATAGAGAGTGTGGCGTGGTTAGCACAACGGATCCCCACGGCCGTTAATTTCGGTTTTCTAGACCGGAGCAGCTATTTCCTTGAAATAGCTCCTCAATTATCCTTATGAGGCTGAGAGAACCCCGTTTCAGACCCACTACTTCTCAGAAAATCTGGTAGCGCCAGGAATCGAACCCAGGACCTCTGGATCTGTAGCCAGGAACTCTGACCACTAGATTGCAGAGGCGGTGCGAACATTATAACACCTAAACATAATTGTCTAACTCCAGGGAACAGAGTCCCTGGGAAGCTAATAACGGCTCAGTTAGTCAAGATATCCCCTGTACTTTACTGAACCTGTAATTTCATTACCGTGCTCAGAAAATTCACCAATGCAGTCCACGCCCATAAATCTGTTACTGCAAGTCCCATTCTTCTACAGTACCACTTATATACTCTTGATACTGACAGCATCGTTAAATAATCAACTTAAAAAGTCTAATTTTAATATTATATTTCAATCATATCTCCAGGTTTTCCGACTAAAATTTTGTTAATATTATCTTCACAAATCGCGATACAAGTCCCACCCATCTCATTCTCTTCAATTTTTCATCCTGATAATATTAGATGCCAATTTTTGCGGACAGAGGGTGTCGCGTGATCAGCGCAACGGATCCCCACGGCCGTCACTCACTGTTCTCTAGACCGGAACCTCTATTTCCTTGAAATAACTCCTCAATTATCCTCACGAGGCTGAGTGGACCCCATTCCAGACCCATTACTTCTCAGAAAACCTGGTAGCCCCAGGAATCGAACCCGGGACCTCTGGACCTGTAGCCAGAAACTCTGAATACTAGACCACAGGTTTGACACTAACTTCGTCTATAAGCGGCGGTCGCTCGGTCGGTATAGTTCACTTACGGACTACATACCACGGAGTTGATGATATTAGGTGAACAGCTCAAATGGTGTTCTTCATTATTCAGTTTTCTCCTTCGATTACTTCATTTCTAT